GGAAGACTTAGAGGAACGCACCTAGTCCGGAGTCCATTATATGCATCATCATTTCCAGAGTAGGACCGTGTACGTGGTACATTTCCAGACGTTTCGCTGGCATCGTAGTCGGCATCGTTAGTGAGTCTCGCCATTCGTAACACCATATTACAACTCGTCAAAGGGAATGTACCACGTCCATGGTCCTACTCTGGAAATGATGATGCATACAATGGACTCCGTACTAGGTGCCTTTCTCTAAGTCTTTCTACAAATATGACCAGGTCAAACAACTTCTATACAACGAAAGGAGACTGCGACCACACAAAAGGCCACCATCTTGGTCTTCATACCTACGATTTTGTTTGAAGTTTCATGCAAGATAAATGCGAAAGTGACTTTTTTTCCTCCGATTTCCTCCTTACCAAATAAACTAGGCAATATTTAGACCATTCGAATGTTCACTCGAACTTTCTAAGAAGTAATTTAAAATCTATAACATTGAAGTTGAAAACCTCTTTATTAAAGTATTTAAGAGCAAGCCTTGTTTTGCTCTTTTGTTTGAAAATCTGCAATGTTGTTTTCCCAGCGTTTCGCCAGAATAATGTGCATTCTTGATTTTACTGTTATACGACTTATCTTAATCTCTAATTAATATTTTTCACTTCCTATGCAGTACTTCTTGAATCCTTCATTGATCTCGATCAATTGGTTCAGGACCCTCAAACTCTCGTCTCTACGGGTTCTACTTCACCTCAGCTTTCCTCAGCATGGTTCTCAGACTCGCTTAGCCTTAATTTGCCTCCTGCTGCTGGCGCAGAGCCTAACACTGTTTCCGGAGCCGCCTGTGACCTTTTGCTACCGGATAATGGCATCACTGCACCTGTAGTTCATTCGATTGATCCCACTACCTCAACCGCACATAGCGTAGAAGACAATGTCAATGTGGACTCTGGACCTAAGTTTTCCTCAATCAGTCAAATGAATGTCCTGAACGAACCTCTTATTCCCGCCGCGGGTGATAGTAGTATTTTGGCAATTTCAACTGGAAAGACAATGGTGTCTTCTTCGTCGGCAGCCCCAGTGAATGGAGTTGATTTGGTCAGCTTTTTGAATGACTACGACCTGGGCCATCAGCTTATTATATCAGAGTTGACAGGGCTATGCGAAGAGGAAGAAGTTCTGCAACCATCCTCATCAGTACCGATTCCACCAGCCACTTTGACGAATGCCTCTTTAAATACAAATGCAGTTGCTCCGGACCCAGATGTGGTGGATGGTTTACTACAGCAGCCTTCCACCACTAGCTGCTTGCCTATTAGCTACGCTTTATCAAGCGAATCAGCAATCGTTGCAGTTAACGCACCCACTTCAATCTATAACGGTCTGCTTGACCACTCATGCCTTCCAAATCATCCTCCTACCTCTCCATCTATGCAGAACCCATCTGTTTCTGCATCTGATTCTCTTGATTCTCAGCTAATTCGTTCGTCTGTGAATACCTCACCAGGGATTGCAGAGCTCCGAATGCCAGTTTGCCTGTCTGGTCTCCCTGGGGCTGAGGAAGTGCGCTATCGATCCAGAGAGGAGGTCTTGGCGGCTATCCTAAGGCAAGCCGCCCTTTATTCATACGATCAATTTCTCTATAACTCCATATTTCATTTTTGTCATGCATTCTTTCCATTAAACAGATTTTGATTTTGATTTTAATTCCATTACTCATCACTTTTTATTCATGTGAACACCATATTTTTATTTAACTATTTCGAAGATCAAAATAGGGTGACCTGTTTGGTCGCAGTTATCTATAGCTTCATAGTATTGGTTTGACCTCGTTCTCGCAATATGTCGAGTCATTAGGAAAACCTTGTAAAAATTACCTAGTCCTTCGTTCTATGCCATAATATTCACGATTTTCAGCATCGGACCATTGACTTAGTACACTCTCAGACGTTTCTACAGCCTCATAGTCGGCATCGTCAATGAGAGGCGCCATCGTCAGCACAGAGTTACAGCTTTTCAAAGTTACAAGTGAAGGCAAGCTTGACTAATTTTCTGTTCAACCGTTTGGGCATCACTTGCCTATATTTTGTCATGGCTTTAATGCTGTGTCTTGTTCCTCAACTCAGCTTCATTCTGTGATCTCTTTCCCACCTATGTCGCCTTAGAATGTATCGCTTCAAGTGGATTTAGTGAAGCATAATCACCCTCACCACTGGTTTCAGATGCCGTTTGCAGAGATCATGTGCGTTTTTTTCATTTAGGCCCACTTTCCCATCCCGCCTATTAATTGGTCTATACTACAAATCAAAATCACCGTCTGAAATCTGGATGTCTATGAGCCTTACATTCCTGCTCCGTTTACGATATATTCGAGGATTTTTGAGCCAGTGCTGCCAATTTCTAGGTATCTTCCTCTTCCTAGGTTTCAGATTCACCACCCAATTATCCTCTTTTCCATCCCCATCCCCATCCACATTGCATCTCATTCTTTAGGGCCATGTGTCCGGCTTAATTTGGAACCGCTGATGTGAAAACGTACTGCTTCTTATTTCCGCTCTTGAATTGCGTAAAGCAAACTTGTCTCTCGAGTTGACAGTTCCATCTTATCCTAAGGATCTATACAGTTGTTAATGCGCTTCCTCTTAGTCAGCATGCCACTCATTATGGCTTACACAAAAAGTTTATACACACATTAATGACCAACTGATACTGTACGTTCTAAGCCGGTTTCCATGCCCTGATTAATTTTATTGGGACCTATCTCTTTAGCCGGACTCATCTAATGGTGTATAATCTGCATGTCTTTGTTCTTCACTTTCCTATCCTCAATCCCAAAGTTGGCGGACCCACATCGGCAAATTAAGGCTGTTTCCAGGTTTTACTCCTCTCACTGCAATTGTCTTTTATTGACA